GAAAATTACCAATGAGAAATAAAGCAACAAAGGCAAATGATAGAAATTCAGCAAAGATAAGACGACAACACGATGCTATGGTTGCCTGCAGATTGTTTGAGGGGAATGATCTTGAAATAAGAGGAAAATCATCATCGTCTAAGGCTTAAAAGTTCCCTTCAAGTTAGTAATGAATATATGGGAAGGCATCAGGTGAGGCACCGAATAACATCCATCTAAATAAACATCTCTTCCAACTGAGAAAACACTCCGGTAGCAAAAACCAAAACCAATTGCAACCAAAAAGTCACCAAAAAAGAATAATAAGGCCAACATTTAGGCAGGACCACCAAAAACGGATGCAGCCAAACGACAACTGGTATAAGAATTGCCAAATTTCATTTCATTCCTTTTCCTCCATACACAATAAAGAGAAGAATGGATAATAAGCATGTAAAGGCTCTTAGCATTTTTAACAAAGTGCTTCATATCATCAATTATCTCAAAAATTTGAAGGATACTTTGTCTAAATAATAGACCATTAATCCCAAGAATCATCACAACAATCATAAAGAAAGAGTAGTCGCATTCAAAGAAGAGATGAGAAGTACTTTCAGTAGATGAATTGCAAATATAGCACATAATCCTTGTTTTTAACCCACCAACAATAGCCATCCAACAGTAGGATGTGAAACATAGGGCATAGAGTTTATGCCAAACAAATTTGAGTTAAGAACAAGACAAGTTATTTTTATAAAAATCAACTAGAAACCTCTTGATGTTGCCTTCATGAGAAAGACCCCATTTCAGTCATGTAGAATTAGGATCTCCAATCAAATTTTGAGAAATAACATCAGCTAGAGAAAAGGAAGCAGAAGCAGGAATGGCCCAACCATGTTTAATAAGAATCACATCTATACAAGTATTACAAGGAAACATGAGCCTAAGAGAATGAGTGATTTGCAAATCAAAGAGAGATGTCCCATTGCACTAGTGATCCCAAAAGAGGGAGATAGGGCAATTATGAGTAATTCTAAATTTAAAATTATCTCTAGCAGTAGCAACAGTGAAGCAAACAAATTTTCAGAAAGGTGTAGTAGCATGAGATGGTGGGCACCAGAGAGAGGGGCATATGAAGAGAATATCCATTTTGAAAGGGGGAAGACCTATTAAAAAATTTGGAGATATGGGATCATTTAAAGCAGTATAGGGGGCCAAGGGCGCCCCTCTCAACCCTAGGTTTGCAAGTGTTATCCGAAGAAATTAGATGCAACTTTCATGCCATAATGCCACCAAAATTTCAAAAACTTAGCATATAACCTATTGATAGATTTGAGAATGGTTTTAGGTATGATAAACCCCAAATCCAGTAAGCAATAAAGTTCCAAATGGTGAATTTTAATAATTGCAACATACATGCAAAAGAAATAGCTTTAGCTCTCCAAAAAGTAAACTTGTTAGTAAAATTTTTTCATGAGAGGAGAGAAATCAGCCAGTCTAGCTCTCGTTTGGGAGATGATGATGCCAAGGCACGTAATAAGAGTAGAAATGTTGAGGGAAGAGTTAATAATGTTGACATTTGGGCAAGAAAGGGGAAGAATGAGGCTACTTTTATCAAAGTTAATATGTAGGCTAGAGGAGTTAGCAAATAGAGATGATTTGGTTCAATTTGGAGCAATTTGTAAGAGTATATTCCCAAAAAAATTAGGAGATCATCAACATACATATGGTGGGATAGTTTGTGCCCATCCAAAATCAAACTAGCAAATGATTCCTCATTAGAGGGGTTGTCAATAAGATAAGAGAATGCATCCATCACAATGCAAAAGATATAGGGACTCAACGGACAGCCTTGCCCAAGATTACCAGAAGAAGGAAAGAACCCCTCCAGAGAGCCATCAATGCAAACAAAAAATCAAACTTCAGTAATACATGCTTTAATCCATTGAATGAAGGTGGAAGGAAAACCTTTGTGGGCTATTTTAGCTAGTAAAAACTCTCTGGAAATAGTGTCAAACGCTTTCTTGGTGACTAATTTGGCGCTCATAAGCATGAAATTAGAAGATTTTCTAGAATAACAAATAAGTCCCTTGACAAGAATAAAATTATAAGTTATATCCTCTTGGAGATAAAGACAACCTTATTTTCTTTGATGATGGTATGCATGAGTGGTTTAAGCCTAGCAGATAATACTTTGATAATAATTTTATAAATTAAATTGCATAGAGAGATATACCTATAGTCAAATATTGAGCTAGCATGATTTGTTTTAGGTATTAAAGCAGAGCATATGCCTTAACACCTCAAGAAAAGTAGCATTTATCAAAAAAGGACTTGACTGCTTTGCAAATATACAGCCCCACCAGTAACTAAGTAGACTTGTAGAAGTCAAAATTAAACCCATCAGGCCCAGGGGCAGAAATAGAGGAGCACGAGAAGCCAGTCTGCTTGATCTCCAAGTCAGAAACAAACAGAAAGAGGGAGGAAACAATATGAGTAGGCATAATGTCACTATAAGGGAAGCAACTAACATCAGTAGAGGTGGGAGGGGGACGATTATAAAGAAGATGAAATGTTGTATAATGGAGTTAATGTCATCGACATAAGTGGAGGAGTCAGCCAAAGCTACAAAGGAGCCTGAGAAGCTATCTTGCTTGATATCCGACTTACAAACATGCTGAATGAGGAAGCAACAATATGAGTAGGCATAACATCATCATAAGGGAAGCAACTGACATTAGTAGAGGTACGAGGGGGAGAGTTATAAAGAAGCTATAAATGTTGTATAATGGAGCTAATGGCATCAACATAAGTGGAGGAGGAGCTAGTCAGGAAAAGCTATAGAGATTGAAGATCGAGTTTATGTAAATTTTCATTGTCTGAATTCTAGAGTACAAGAATTTGAGATTATCGTCTCCATAAGTAAACCTTTTATATTTGCCCTTTGTATGATCCAAGAAGCTCAAATTGAGAAAATAATGCTTGTCAATATGTTGTTCTGTTCATTAATATACAACAAGAACGACATCAAGTTTTTAACCCAATATATATGATTAATTATATGAATATTTTTTCTCCATTGTGTCTATTAAGAATTAAATTCTCATTTAATAAACAAAGGTCATTTTTGATACTTTTAAACCAAGCCTTCTTAAATCTAGTTCTATCTTTCTCAACATAGGTTATATATAATACATCTATTCTCTTATTTGGGTCAACAAATGGTCGACGCTTTATGTGACCAAACAATCTAAGACGATTTTATCTAATCTTATCATCCACCTTTTCACTTATACACTTATTTCACATTGTGCCTCTAATTGTAAAGCCAATTATTCACTTGAGCATCCTTCTCTTTGCATTACTTAATTTTGTGCTTCTCTTTTAATGTTCATACACTATGTTCATTAATATTAAATAATATTTTTACTTGATAGTTTAAAAGCATGAGAAAAGGACTAATATCTCGTTCAGTTCAATAATTTTGGTTAAATTTGATTCAGATAAATTTTAATAAATTTACATTGAAATGTTTTAATTTTGGATTCATTTGATTGTGCATTAGTATGGAGTTCATATAATTTATCCTAAAATTAATGCAATTTTCTCATATCATAACTTCATAAGTATCCCTAATCTCAATGTAAGTTTGACGGACATGAAATCTTTCTAAAACAAATTGCATTAGAATCTTGTGACACGATATTTTTACACAAAATAATTAATTTAATATTTGTATAAAAATTAGTATATTAGAATGATAAACTTTTTTTTTTTGGGGAAAAAATGATAAACTCAATGATGTTAAAATATAAATAGCATATCTTACAATGATATATTAATATTTGCTCACACATAGTATTTGACTTGTAATTTATTCAATGAGAAAATATTCATAAAAAAATTGATTATAATGTTAAAATTGAAAAGAATTGCATCCCATGATGAACTTAATAGATTTTGAATTTACACTGTGATTAATACACCCATGCGATATATGTCACATACATTACTAATTTTACCACAAGTCTTAGGGACCAGGGTTGTTAAGCTCATCGTTACTCAAAATCCATCGGGACATCATGAGCCTAATTTATTTCAAACTAAAATTAAAATTTAATTATGATGATTTTTAGTTTAGAAGTTTACTTTAAATTAAATATAATATCTAACCAATTAATTAAATATAATATATATTTTTTAAAATAAACATGTTAACAATTAAAGAACTTATTTTGATTAAAAAGTAATAGAAATGTCTTTTTTATTTGATTTAAATAAGAAATGAGCTCTCAATAGGGCGCAATTGAGATAAAGAATTCATATTTTTAACCCTATGCAGTGGGAGAAATTAATATGTGCGGATGGCTGATGCAGAATGTCGTCCGGAGATCAATCAGAATGCGTCACGTCAGTGGTACCGAGCCATGGTACCGAGCAGTATTGAGCCGTTGTACTGAGCGAAGGAGTGACGTGGCGCATTCTGATTGATCTACGGAAGTCGTTAGGCATCCAAACAGAATAATTAATCGTTCAGTGGATACAACTTGATGATGATGATGTTGTTGTTAGACATTATAACTATTTTTTTGTCTTTTATGACTTAGACATGAGCGCTCCACCTAAAATCGGAAGTCATCATGAACCTAAATCTTTTGTTGCAAATTTTTGTTGATCATAATTTGTTAGTTATAGGAGGAATTTTTAGAGTTAATTTGTGGCCATACCATCCCTAAATAAAAATAAAAATAGTATTTATTAAAATAATTATAAATATCTTGTCATTTTATATCATATAAAATTTCAATATAAATGAAAAAAAAAATTAAATATCAGAACTGTAATTTATTATGTCAAAACTTGAAACTTCTAGAATACTTTAAGTTTCCAATCTACCAAGGTTACATTTGTAATTCATGCAATTGCCAAGTTGCTTAGCTAAAAATTCCCAAACGGAAGAGGGCGCTCCTTCCCAAAAAGCAACCGCCTATTTCAACCGAACGGAAACCATCAGCCATCGAAAGCCATTCTTCCCGCTGCCATGAGAGAGCTCGCCTCGACCCTACCCTATTCCTAGGGTGGGGCGGAAGATTGTTCATGAACAGAATCTTCGTGCGAGTCTATCCTTCTCCTTTTTCTCCTTCTCGATCTCTGCCTCTCTTTATGCCTATTAATATTTCCGGATTCAAATCGGAAATCTTTGCTCTTAGCTCTCTGGGCTATGGATCCTCTACTGTTTCCGTAATCACTGGTTTCAACATCATCTACCAGGTAAATGTACGATCAGATCATTTCACGATCTCCACTTTGCTTCGATATCTTAATGGCAGAGAGATCACTCCCAATCCGATGCAGGGGTTGGAGAGGAATCACGAAAACATAACATAGCCATCAATTATACGAGTTTTCTTATCTATTGTTGGAACGTAGGGTAGTTTTACCTTGTTTAGATTGGAATGTGAATAGTTGGAGCTTTTTTTTGTGATTTTTCTTGGACAGGGAGAAGATAAGGGTGAATTAGGAGTGGGTTCTAAGCGTCGGAGTGCCAGGACGGTCGAATGGGGGTTTTGAGCATCAATGTTGGAATCGAGCTGGATATGCACTGGACGAAATACTTTTTCGGATTTGATATTTGCTTGAGGTGAGCTGAAAATAATTTGCCAAGTACTTCAGCTATCTAATTCAACGAAATGGTATGTATAATTTTATCCATTTTTCATTTGGATGCTTTAACACTATATTGCAGTTCAATAATTGTTTTTATTAGGCAATAAAATATTTACTTATTATTATTTAATATTATATATTTTCATATATAATCGTTATTAATAATATTTTCTTATATTACATTTTTTATTGTTTTGTTCTGTTATATATATGTTCCTATTTGTACTAACATATGCTTTCTTTGTAGACAATTTTTTGCTAGCTTAGCTAACATAGCAACAATTGATAAACTCTAGAACGAGTACAACATTTGTGATGCTATACTAATATTTTTCCAAGCAATGGGGAAACTATTCTCTGAGTCAAATACTTTCTTCAAGCAAAATTTGGATATCCATTTCAATCACATGTTCAAATAGGAGGTGAATGACACGCCATTAACCTTCTAGTTTATGTTAGGCTAACTCACCCTAACTTCTAGATTGTTTTAAGGGGCATGAATTTATTGTTTTGTAAGTACGACACAAAATGGTTGACCCAACATTTTCTCTACTTCTTCAAGGTTAGGTGCCACCAAGGCCTCAATTAGTTCTTTAATTGTTCTAATCATTCTCTCCTTACCATTAGGCCGTCATCTTCCATTAAGGGCTAGAAGAGAAAAAATATTTTTTTTGTTAGCTGATAAGGGATGTGAGTGTTTAACTATTGCTAGATATTGTCGATAAGTTATTTGAGCTACATGCCAGCTTTAAGGAGTTAGAGAGGATGTTGAAGGGCTACAACAAGAATGACAAAGTGATACTATATAAAAATTTCCAGGAAGCCCAACTGATTTAGTGTTCAATAAGCTTGAGTTGATTTGTGGAGTTAGTTTTTGACTTGTCCAAACTCATTGAATATTGACTTCAAGTCGTGCATGTATGGCTTGAGTTGTGAAGTTATTTTTGCTTCTTCCAAATTCGAATAACTCCAAATTTTAACCACCTATCTACTTTGGGTAAAAATCATGATTAAACTTCTTATTTTGAACATATTTAGCGTGCATTAAGGTCCATTTGAAAAATTTATTTGATTTGAATAAGATCTTTTTTTATTTGCTTGCTCAATTCACCCCAATTGTGTTGAATTGGAGTTTTGAGAGCCTTCTATTTGTATATTTGCCATTTCTAGACAGTTCTAAGATAAGATTTGGAAGTTATTGAATTTGGGTGACATGTTTTCTGTTGAATATGTTATGTTGAAAGGTGGGACCCATTTGGCTGTTGACTTGTGAATTGGGTCAAAATGATGGTTTCAGCAACTCATCATAATTTGGGCATGCTTGCGATGAGACAGTACATGTGGTAAACATTATTTAGGACATCATATGGTAGAAATTGAGCTCATTAGACATTTCTACCTTTTATTCCCTTATTAAGTCCTTCGGAAGGATTTAGTCAAAATGGAGTATTTATTGATTGCGGCATAGCTAACACGCATCAGTTGGGCCCGTTTTAAGCTTTTTTTTTGGACAACTTTTTAAATTTTTTTTGCTGTTTTCTGAACTAATTTTTTTTAATAGAACGACTAAAATAATTAAATTTAACATAATATGTTGACTTATTAACTTTAATAAAAAATCTAAAAAAATAAATTCATAGATAAATTAGTTCTAACAAATAATATATTCAGTATGGGCAACATTTATGTGTTATTATAAAGAGATTAATTTAGATAGCTCAATATATTATGCAAAAATAATTAAATTTGGAGGTAAAATCAAAAGTCCTTAAAAAGTATGAAAAGGTTTTGATGTATTATTATTATTATTATTATTAATATTTTCATAATCTATAACCAATATGTGCAGTACTATATTAAATAAAAAATTCATATTTTTATAAAATATATTTATGCATATAAATATTAGATATTTGATGATTGTTTCTTTAGTTTCCTTGGATGGTTTAGTCATGCAAACTACGTTTTCACACGTCAAGAAAATCGGTATATCCGCCTAAAATGCACCAGTGCAAACTACGTTTTTTTTAGGCCTGGGGAAGGGTAAGGAGCGAGCTGAATAGTTGGAATAGCGGACTCTGATCCGTGTTCTATGTATGTTTTGGTTAGTTTTTATTTTTGCAGGCTTTGCTTTTATTTTTGTTGTGATCTCTGTTGTTAAGCACTATTGTAAATAGATTTCAAATTATTTATATTTTGGATGATATATAGAAAAATCATGCTGAGATTCAATAGTCTTATACTTTATATTGCATTCAATTGTGGCTCTGTGTAGTATATAAATTGAAAGTTTTGTTTCAGTACATCTCCAACTAGATTTTGGGGTCAGGTGCTACAATCAGATACGAAATTACTTGTGTGTTATCAGGTCATATCAAGTCGTGTTGTGACAGTTAAGCCTATAGTCAAATATTGAGCTAGCATGATTTGTTTTAGTTATTAGAGCAAGAGCATAGGCCTTAACAACCATTGATGTTGGATCACAACTACTCAATCATTGTTGTCGGATCACCGCCGTTCGACCTTTGTTGTTAGTGCTGATAAATTCAAAATCTTTGTCATATGAGTTAGTTTTTATTAACCGTATTATTTGTATTAGAACGTCATAAATCCCACCATTTCCATTAGCCTACCACCACCTGACCACCGTCGTGTGAATGATTAGAAATCAAAGTGTCTGAAATTCATTGAATTCTATCAGATTAAAGCGGAATTTTCTTTAATTGAGCTCATTCTTCCATGTGTTCTGAATGTCACTCAAGCATAGAGTCAAACAGCCTGGGTTTAAGAGCGGAATCACGAAGAGCTGTCAACTACATGGAAGGGCAAAACTTTTGGTTTGAGGGGGTCCCTCGGAGTGATTTGAAGCATTTTTTGTGTGATAAGTCGGTAGGAAAAGCTTACGTATAAAGTTGGTAGCATCAATGAACTTGTACTTTCACTTTCACGATGCTATTTTTTTTTTTTTTTTTTGAAAAAATTTGAACGAAGTCCGTATATTAATCACCAAGAAGAATTACAAGTAAAAAACAAAAATGCCCCAAAAAATTATCATGCTATTCTCACCCTTTACTTATTTTACCTCTTCTCACATGAAACAGTCATCGCCACCTACTCAGCAACACTTTTTCTCGTTCATTGCATTGTTCCTTTTCTCTGTTTCTCGTGCACTGTCCAATAGGTTCCAGTCGCATGCACCATCATGCAGTAGCTAGCTTCCAAGTCAACAAAAGTGGCGTACAAGTTTGGCAATGCATATCTTACTTTATTACTTAAAGATAAGAATGAGCTGGTACGGAAATGAATTATAGGGGGATTGAAATTGAGCTAGATATCTTAATGATGAAATATATTTTCAACTCAAAATTTAGACTTAAAATCTAAAGATCTTAAAGTTTATTATCTTACCTTAGCTAGCATCGAAGTCAACAAAAGGAGCAAAAAAGTTTTGGCAATGCACATCTTTTGTACTTTACATAAGAAAGAGCTTGAGTGAATGAATCGGAGGAATCAAAGTTGGATTAGATACATCAATATTCAATACATTTTAACCTAAAGGCTTAAGTAAGAACTAATTATCTAATATTTTTATATCAGTATATTTTTCAATCATTTGGTGTATAATTAAGTCCAATAATTTGATATGATTTAATAATCATCCTTTCATACGAGAGCTTTCTATATCAATCATCATTCTATTTCAAACAAAAATCTCTCAAGTCAAGTGTCCTGTAATAAGAGTTCACTCAACAATGCAATAGTCGTGTGGGTCATTTGCTCTTAACCTTGTTCAATCATGGTAGAAATAGGCAATGACTCTTGAAAACCTTAAACGGCAAGAATAATTTAATAGTAGTCAAACCATTGGCTCTCATACACAATTTGTTAGGAGAAGTGAACTACCGGGGGCTAAATTTGTGCTATATATTTGTGATTTTTTTTTTCAACCCAAATGTTTAAGCATATAGGTAAGAGAGACCTATTGGCATATATAAACTAATATATTTTTCAAAGACTAAACTTTTTCAACGACTAAATACTCTCAGTTAGCAGAGCTTTACAGGGTAAAGCATCAATTTTTAAGGTCGTTCAATGTTCTTACTTTTGAAAAGAAGATAGAAGACATTTTCCTGGTCAGAAAGATTCATTTCCAGTGAGAAGCCTAACTCTGATATATCTAAAGTGAAAGCAATTCAACGTTATGCTTGCTCGAGCAGATCCAAATTAGCATTTGAAAATAAGGTAAAAAATGAAGAACTATCATGTATTTACATAAGAAAATATGGTGAAGTTGTATTTCTTTTGCTACGGTTTGTGCAAACTTTTCTGCTTCTTTGGTGTTGATGATTTGAAATTTGTGATATTACTTATGAGCCTACATCAACTTCATTAGATCAAAAAATAATTATGGCAAATCATTTTACCATTAAGGAATCATATTTATTATGTGAAAGTCTCTTAACTCATTTTTATCCTCACTTTGTTCTTCAATTTTGCAGAAAATATTATCTGATTTTATTTAATTTTGGGAGTTACTAAAGCTATAAATATGAACTTGGCTAGGGCATGCATATGCGAAATGGTAAGGTTGACTCTATTCTAACTTGAGTTTCATGTGAATTATAGAAAGAGCCACTTCACAACTAGGTATGAATTTGAATGTTATCTACAGCGACGTATCTTCAAACCCTCCATTTGCAAGAGCTTAATGTGCTTGGCTTGGCTGGTTAAAAAAGCTACAAATGACAATGATAATACTGAAGCTTCTTTGGATTATAAAAGTTCCATAAATTCCGGCGAGGTAAATCCTATTTTGTTTTCAATTGAATCTATATCTATACGCCTGTCTAAAGTTTCAAAATTTTATTGAATATAAATTGAAGGAAAAATGCTTTGGGTAAGAGAGCACTGGACAACGAACAAGCCATTTTACTTATGTATTACGTAGTTAACTTGTTTTCATTCGAGTGCATTGGCATTAGATAGTGTGCAGGTTAACAATATTTGGAATGATTTTCATTTAGTCCTAAAATTTTAATACCTAGCAAGTTTTTTGTTAGGCCACTTGTCCATTATAATTTTTGTTATGTAGATGTTTATATGGATTGAAGAACAATAGGTAGGTCATTTAAAGTTTTTTCCCCCTCATGGATGGTAAAATTTATTGAATCTGAATTTGTCCATAGATGCTACCCAGTGTTACTAGTAGGTTAACTTGGTGAGCTAGAATCTGTGAACAAAAATGCAGAGTGCAGAGAGAGAGAGAGTAGAGAGAGCACAGAAGAAGATTAGGGATATCAGAAAGGTAGAATATTCATTATCAGTGTGCCAGGGAGGAGCCTATCAACTTATCAACCTGCACGATCAAAGGCCCATTGCGTCGATTAACGATCAATACCTGAAGACATACCGTACATAAGGATGATTATGTATTTAAAGCATCATGTACTTTTTATGTATTCACTGACATATGTACCTTTTATATTTTAAAATTTTTCTTGTGTTGCAAGAATGCATTTTAAGATCTCCCCTAAAGTTGTGGGCATTTAAAATATTTATCTGGATCAACATCGTGCTACGCATCGAGATCTCCAAATAAATATTCAAAATTTAAGATATATTTGAAATTTCCCTACAAGATGGGGGCATTTTAAATATTTATTTAGGTCAAAATTGTGTTACGCGCTGATATCCCCAAAAAAATATTTTAAATCTCAAAGTAGCAAGTTTATCTCCTTACGAGATGGGGCATTTTAAATATTATTTGGTTGACATCACCTAAATTGTACTTAAATAAATATTTAAAATCACCTAGCTTAATATTCCTTTAAGTATAGAGATATAACAATTTCCGTTATCAGCGCATATGCATGTGATCTTCCTAACGTTTGGGGTGCCACCTTCTCCAGCGTACTAAGATTTTAAAGGCCAAGAAAGAGATTTTAGTAACTACACATTCCAACACGTCGAACTTAAGTAGCTTAAAGTCTTTCAACAGCCTGAAGTTTAAGGTTCAAATGAGTAAATCCAACAAGCCCAAACATGGCAAGATCGCTTACAGCTTCGTCTACTCAACAGGCCATAAGAAAGGTTTTAGTAGCGGAACCCCCACTTTGTAAACCTATTAGTAGTCGTAGTCTATTAAATTCAAGTAGCCAAGTCTATTAAATTCTTCTAATTGATCGGTGAATCAAAGTTTTAGTGCGAAGGATGAGATCAGTGCAAAGGGACGATCGTCATTCGAAATTGGCACGCGATGTCGCCCAAATGATGTCCATCATGAAATGGATTTTTTCGTTGCGTTTGAAACATCATCGACACCAAAAAAACACTATCAACTTGTTCAATTAGAATCGTCTGTCAAAAAAACATGATTCCCATAGCGTTGATGCAAATAAAGAGTAAATTGACGCGCGGCATCGCCTGAATGATGTTCGATCACAAAACAAACTTTGTCGTTAAGTTCAAAATGCTTCAACACCTTCAACACCCAAAAGTGATAGTTAATTTGAGCAATTAAATTCGCACAATATGATTGACACTCATCCCGAGGCTACGACGACCAATTATAGGAAATTGGCATGCGATGTTGCCCAAATGACTTCTAATCATAGAACGTATTTCGCCGTTGTGTCCGTAACGTCATCACTATCCAATATACGTTATAAGTTTGCCCAAGGAAAGTCGATCATGCAATTCTCAAAATCACGCAAAATAATGCGGCTTTGCATAAACATCGCATTGTTGTCATCTTAAATCATTATTAATATTATTGATTGATTTAACCAAAGTAGAAAAGTCAAAACGAGATAATAAATTCACATTAAATTACTGACCTCGTCTCTGTTTTTTTTTTTTTTTTTTTTTTTTTTTTGGGAAAATTCGGGGCTTAGCCCATGTATTGATAAACCAAGAGGATTACAAACTCAAAAACCAAAACGTAACAAAGAATTACATGTAATTCTATACCCCCAAAGCCCAAAAGGAAGAAGAAAAAACAGAATAAGAGGAGGAAAATAGGACTCAGAAAATAAAGGACTACACCCAAAGTACCAAGCCTGGAAAGATACCAGACCACCAATGCGTCAAGCAGCTCGAAAAAGGGCACTGGTTGCCATAGGAGTGCAAGATTATAGATCCAGGACCCTCACAGTGTCCCAAAAAGCAGCACCCCAAAGTCACAGAAATCGCATAAATGCACATCCAGGTTGCCCGAAGACCCTCCATGGATGAGCTATGTGTAGTCCTTAGCTCATCATTGTCCAAACCTCCTCTAATTCCCCCAAAAAAAGCTTCTGTAGCAAAAACCTGTATCTCCCAAAATTTCCAATCAATAATGGACAAAAATAATCTAAAAAATTCAGCCTCCCCATAATAATAGCAGATAATCAGAACAGCAGAAAAAGCGCCCAGGAGCCAACGGAGCCAGTTAATCCAAGATTTCTCTAAATTTCCCATCAAAAATCTCCTTGTTGTTCCAAGTATTAACCTTAGCTTGCACAGCAGAGCAGATTTTTTTCAAAATGGCATCCACGTTACCAATATCTCCTTTGAATCTCCTTTGATTACGTTCTCTCCAAAGGAAATAAATCGTTACCGAAACAGTCATGGAGCAGAAAATTTTCTCCAGTTTAGAAGTGTTAGAATTGTTCCAAAAAAAGTCATAAACCTGAAAAAGGTTAGGTCTCAAATAGAAAGCATTAACCCCAGGCAGCAGCTTAGAGAGGACCTCAAAGGTGAAATCACAACCAAAAAACAAGTGAGAATGGTTTTCAAAGTGCTCAAGACAGAAATTGCAGTGAGGAGGGGCAGGAATACTCCTCCTGATTAAAGAGTCCGCAGTTTTTAACTTCCCCTGAATAGCCATCCAAGCGTAACACGCATAGCGTAAAGCATGTTTTTTATGCCATATAAATTTGCACCAGTCAACATTATCCATGTTAGAATAAAACATAGCAGTGAAATGTTTAAAAACTGGTTTGGCAACACCAACCCAAACCATATCATCCTCCTCTTCAATGCCAATATTTTTAATTTTACCACAAATGTCAATAGGCCAACCCGCAGGGAGGTTCCAAACCCCATTTAAAATGATATCTTTCACCCAGCAACCATTCCGAGAATGGCAGGCCATGCTACTTCCCAAAGAAGTCCCATAATACCAGGGATCCCAAAAAGTTGATAAATTGCTGTTCAGACCAACTTTAAAACTGACAGAATCTCTAAGAGTGTTAGCCTTGTTGCATATTAATTTCCAAAATTTTGATGCCGAAGGGGGAGGAGGTTTCCATGGAGATTCATAGTTTTCTTTAAACCACAAGCTCAAAAGAGATTTAGAGTTATACAGACGCCAAATCAGGGAACAAGCAACCCCATGATACAGAGAGTCTAAAGAGGGAATACCAAGCCCCCCTTTAATCTTAGGCTTAACAACATTTTTCCAAGAAATTATATGCAACCTCTTATCCGTGAGATTGCCAAAGAAAAGGAATTTGGAGCAAATCCGGGAGATAAATTTTTGGCAAGCTTTAGGTATGATAGCACCCCTAATCCAATAAGCAATGGTGTTGGAAATTGTGAATTTTATAAACTGCACCCTACCTGCAAAAGAAAGGAATTTAACTTTCCAACCCTCAAGAAGAGCAGAAATTCTGCTGAGGAGGGGTTGGAAGTGAGAGAATTTAATTCTTTGAGAGGTGATAGGAATGCCAAGGTAAGTGAAGGAGTCCTGCATATTAGTAATTCCAATAGCACCAGCAAGAAGATCAGCATTGTTTACTGCCTTAGAAAAGCTAATTGCACTCTTAATAGGATTGATGCCAAGGCCAGAAGCCTCCTTGAAGGTGGTCAAAATATTAGTAAGGTTCTCAAAGTTCTGGAGAGAGGCTTCACCAAAGACAAGTAGATCATCCGCATACATGAGATGGGTAATGCTGAAATTTTTATACTTCAAGCCCACAAAAGAAGCTAGAGAGTTGAGGCTTTGAGACAAACCATCCATTGCAATACAGAAAAGCAATGGCGACAGAGGGCAGCCTTGTCTAAGTCCAGAGGAAGATTTAAAGAAACCTTCCAAAGAACCATTGAGACAAATCGAAAAATAAACATCAGAGATGCAACCATGTATCCATTTGATGAAAAGGTTAGGAAAACCTTTCTTTCTCAGCCTGTCCAAAAGGAATTCTCTAGAAATAGAGTCAAAAGCTTTTTTGATATCTATTTTTGCACAGAAAATTTTTTGTTGTCCCTTAAAATGCTTAAGCACTTCCGCAGCAAGAATGATGTTGTCGGTAGAAATTCTCTTAGAAATAAAGCCAGATTGATTTTCACAAATAATATGTGGCATAATAGGTTTGAGCCGATTAGCAATGATCTTGGCAATAATCTTGTAAAACACATTGCATAGAGAAATCGGTCTATAATCAGATATATAATAAGAGTGGGAACTTTTAGGGATGAGTGTGATGGCGGTAGCTTTGACCCCCTTCGGCAAAATACCTGATAGAAAGAAGTCTTTCACAGCTAGACAAAGATGATACCCAATGATGTGCCAAGATCTTTGATAGAAAGCAAATGTAAAACCATCAGGCCCCGGAGAAGAGTCAGTTTTACCCGCAAAAACCGCCTCTTTGATCTCAAAATCAGAGATAGGGATAATCAAAGCATCAACAAGATTAGTGGGGATCTTGTTCCCAATCGGGATATTGCTAAAGCTCTCCTCAAGGGGAAGAGGGGCATTGAAAAGATCAGAGAAATGCATCACAAAAGCCTCCGCCATATCCCTGTGAGAATGGAGAATCCTCCCAAGATAGTTAATCTCCTTAATATTATTCTTATTCTTTCTATCTCTAATCTTGGCATAAAGGAAGCCAAGATCATCTTCACCTTGAGCGAGCCAATAAGCTTTAGCTCTCTGAGAGATCCAAGAAGACCAATAACTTTGAAGTAATTCTAATGAATTAGATGCTCTTTTAAGAGAAACATTGAGCCCAAGATCAAGGGGGTTACTTTGAATTTCATTCAGGTAGTGAAGGTGATTTCTTTTAGCTTCCAGAATAGCTTTGGACAGGTTAGAAGAAGAAGCCCAGTTCTTCTCTTTAGTAGCAAGTTTGATATCTCTTAACAATTTGTAGAAGGAATGGATAGGACTAGCCCTGAAAGGATTCTCCAAAGCTTTAAGCATAATCTCCCAAAATTCATCAAGTTGAAGCCAGAAGTTCTTAAATAAGAATCTAGAGACAGTTTTAACCGCTTTATTTGCCATCAGGATAAGAGGAGAATGATCGGATCCAGAAGGAGCTTCAATCTTGTAATAAGCAGAAGGAAAAAGGTCCAGAAATTCAGAGTTCACCAAAATCCTATCCAGCTTGATATGGATAGGAAGATCAACACGCTGATTAAACCAGGTAAACTGAAGACCAATCGAAGCCAAATCATGTAAGCCACATTGAAAGACAAAGTTATTCAATTCCCCAAGTCTCCCAAGAGGGGGTGAAACACCTCCAGCCTTCTCAGATTCATAC